ATTTATGCTAGGTGTATCTAAAAATTAAAAAAAAAACTTAAAATATTAAAAAAATCAATAAAAATAAAAAAATTTAATTTTTTAAAAAATGAATTCAAAAAACTTAAACCAAACCAACTAAAAAATAATAATAACAATAATAATTAGTGTTTCTGGTTTGAGTTTTCTGGATTAAGTTTATTGAAAACTGAGTTTTTTGTTTTTCGTATTTTTTTGTTTTTAGTGAATATTTTTAAAATTTTAAACATTTTTTTTTAGTTTTTTAGATGCACCTTACTTAGATGTATCTAAAAAGTAAAAAAATTTGTGAAAAAATTATTAAATACATAAAAATACAAAAAAAATGTACTGAATTCTCGTATTTTTTTTGTATTTTTGATATTTAGTAAATTTTTAAAAGATTTTTTTCACAATTTTTTTATTTTTTAAGTATATTTATGTTAGGTATATCTAAAAATTAAAAAAATTGTTTAAAATCTTTAAAAAATTTATTAAAAGCAAAAAAATATAAAAAAAATAAGAAAATGAAATTTTTTGAAAACTATTTTCAGAAAAATGAAACCAAACAAATTGAATAATATCCAACGGTCATAAAACGGTATGAATGTGGTGACCACTTGTTAGGTAGCTTAGATTGTACAATAACTAATCTTGAATGTCAATGCATAGAGACCCATTCCAAAGTCTACGCACATGGGATGGGTCCGACAATTAATGCTTTATTTTGTTTGGAAACACCTAGGTCATTTTTTAATCTCTATCAGCCCTGGTCAGAATTACTATTCTTCTGACTTCATCGAAAATAATTTTGTTTATAAATTGTGATTGGTTTAAAAATTGAATGTTATAATAAAAAAAAGATAAAAAGTTGATTTGATGTTTTGAACTATTACTTATATAATTTTAAGGGTTTGGTTATGGTGTGCAACTTACACCTTACACTTTATACCTTACACTTACACCTTTTGTAAAAAATTAAATCTTACACTTACACCTTTTTTGAGGTTGCACACCATGTGCAACCCACTTACACCTTACACCTTACACTTACACCTTATACTTATACTTACACCTTACACTTACACTTTTGTGTAAGTGGCACATGGTGTGCATTTGCACACTTAAGAAAACTCCTAATTTTAAATATATAAATAAAATCAAACTCAATTTTATGTAATATGACCTTAATGTTTGAACTCTGTGTGGCCATATAAGATATGAGTTTAGAGTTTTTTGATATAAGTAAATATATTTTTAAAGAAAATTTATAAAGAGGTATTTTGAAAAGTTAGTTAAAAGTTAATTTTTTAACTTTTTTAATTTATTTTGTTTTGTTGTGAATACGTTATGCGGGAGGTGATGTGACTTAAAATTAGTTAAAAATTGAAAGTTGACTTTTAACTAACTTCCCAAAAGATTTAACTGATTTTCCAAAAGAAACCATAAAATATGTTATAATAATATTGTAGTAATGACAATTATGTGATTAATAATTAATTTAATAAATTTTATATTTTAAAATAATATCATATTATTCTATATAAATTTTTTATATATGTTTTTTCTATTTATATAGCAATACTCTTTCATAGGCTTTTTGAATTTTGTTGGTGTGGAAATAATAAAAAATATTATAGATCTCAAATAATTTATCAAATTTTTTATTAAATTTTTCATATGTATGTAAATTTTATATTCATATAAAAAATTTGATAAAAATTTAATAAATCATTTAAAATGTTTAGCATAATTTAGAAATAATTGACAACCACTACCGGCACTCCTTGTTTGACTACACGTCAGTTTTTGCTTTTGTAGCTTTCTGTTTGTTAAATAAAATCTGTACAAAATTATTTGTGTCCTGTTGGCCCCAGTGCGGTAGGGACAGCAAGTGAATGAAAAAAACAAAAAAAAAAAAAATTAATTTTTTTTTGACCAATAAGGCCCCATTGGCGTCCTGGGTTCACTTTCAGAGCATCTCCAACCCATGCTTCAAAACTTTAAATATGAAGGATCCTTCTTAATTTTGAACTCTAACCCATCCTTCATTTCTTCCTCTCAAATGAAGGAAGATGGATTGATTCCTTCAAAACTTTAAATATGAAGGATCCTTCCTAATTTTGAACTCCAACCCATCCTTCATTTCTTCCTCTCAAATGAAGGAAGATGGATTGATTCTTCAAATATGAAGGGAGAATGAACAAAATGAAGGAGACTCTAAAATACTATTCATTCTATATTTCTTATTATATTCGAAATAACTTTTAATGTGTAAATTTAATTTTTTATAAAATTGACATCAATAAAAAGTATAAAATCATACATTTAAAATGAGTATAATATTAAATATATTTTACAAAAATTTTAAAATTAAATTTTTATTAATGAACAAAAATTACTTTTTGATTGGAGTTTGAATGAAGGAAATAAAAGTTTGTGGTTGGAATTTGAATGAATAGTGACCTCCTCTATATTTACTTTTTGAATAAAAAATATTATTTTCATCCTCTTAAAAAGAGGATGTGATTGGAGATGCTCTCAGTTGGGTCTGATGCATTTTCCAAATTATTTTGTTGGGTTTCCACGATATAATCCACACCCACTCTCATCTCATTGGTGTTTGGCTTTTGGAATATAATTGCCAGTTGTATAGCTCAATAGTTCAATTAATGTGCCGTTCAAAAAAAAAAAAATAAAAAAAAAAATAAATAGGGAGGCATTTTTAATGTAATTTTCTTTTCTTCAAATCGAAAGTTAATTATTGGAATATAGAAATTTAAAACATATTTATTTTTAATTTTTAAATAATCTTTTTATTTTTATTTTGTTAAGGTCATTTAATGTGTAAATTTAATTTTTTATAAAATTGACATCAATAAAAAGTATAAAATCATACATTTAAAATGAGTATAATATTAAATATATTTTACAAAAATTTTAAAATTAAATTTTTATTAATGAACAAAAATTACTTTTTGATTGGAGTTTGAATGAAGGAAATGAAAGTTTGTGGTTGAAGTTTGAATGAATAGTAACCTCCTCTATATTTACTTTTTGAATAAAAAATATTATTTTCATCCTCTCAAAAAAGGATGTGATTGGAGATGCTATCAGTTGGGTCTGATGCATTTTCCAAATTATTTTGTTGGGTTTCCATGATATAATCCACACCCACTCTCATCTCATTGGTGTTTGGCTTTGGAATATAATTGCCAGTTGTATAGCTCAATAGTTCAATTAATGTGCCGTTTAACCCCTACATCCAAAATTAATTCTAAACAGAGTCAACCAAATCCAATTATGATTAGTTTAGTGGATTGATGATTACAGTTTTATACAATTTTGTTGTCTTTACCAAACTCTAAAGCATATCTTGCCACGTGGGTGCTTCTAGACACTTTTCGTTGAGTACAGTATGTCATGGACCTGGAGTCAAGATCCTCTCCTTGCATTCCCTCTTTGCAGGGTTTTCGGGCCCACTTTTAGGTCTAATTTTGATAATCCGAACCGTTCATATTTTAAGATTTATTCAGTATATCATACTTATAAAAAATTAAGTTAATCGGATATCAGAAAGCATGTATTTTGAAAACTGTTTATTAAATTCTTTAAAAAAATAGTTTTTTGTTCGATTTTTCTGGACACATGCTTTTTGAAATCCGATCAACTTAATTTTTTACAGGTATGATATACTGAATAAATCTTAAAATATGAACGGTTCGAATTATCAAAATTGGACCTAAAAGTAGGCCCGAAGGCCCTGCAAAGAGGGAGTGCAAAGAAAGAGCGCAAGGGAAGGATCTTGACTCAAAAAATACACTAAACAGATTGATACAAATTATTAAAATAAAATAAAAAAGAGTTTGCTTCTCAAGAAGTTATTGGTTAATCTTAAAATATTATTTCATACTAATAAAAATCAAATTGGAAAACTACATCAGCATGCCCTAAGAGCAATGAATAATTTTCCTTGGCTTCTAGAGAAGTTAACCATCACAACTGGAGAGAGTGTTTGGATTTGATAGACTAATTTTTGGACCGATTTTAGAGAGGAGAACATTCATGCAAAAAATCAAGATGATCAGATATCAATAATTATATGTTTGAATTAAATTTGTATTACGAAAATTGATGATTGTTTTTGAAATTATATTTGTCGTCCATTTTTAAAAAAGAAATTCGAATCAAACATATATCCACCAATATCCAATTATCTTAGTTTTGTGTTTAAAAATTCTACTCAACAAGTTTTAAAAAGTAAACGGTTCGAATTGCCAAAATTAATTCCAAAATAGACTTACCAAGTTCAAATGTTCTCTCAAGTTGAGATCACAACTTGAGAAAAACCAAATCAAAAAAAGTAAAAAAAAAGGTAAATTTTGTCACTATTTTTTATATTTCGGTTTTTGTGTATTTTTGGTTCGTGCAATTTTAATTGGGTTGATTTTGACTTTGAATTTATTATTTTATCTAAATTTGATTCAATTGATTAAATTGTTAGTATTTTTTAATGAAAAATGTGCATAGGTGTGACATGTTTCATACATATATATAACCAAAGCTGTAAGCTTTTCTTCAAAAATTCTAATCAATGTTGCCAATTGGATCAAATTGATATAAAATCTAAATTAAAAATCAAAATCGAACTAATTAAGATTATAGGGACTAGAATAATACTAATTAAAATTATATAGACCAAAATAATATAAGAGGTAAAATAAATGTATTACAAATATAATTTGCCATAATTTTTTATAAATAATTTTATATGGAAAAGTCTGGATCCTAGAATTAGGGTCCGAGAATTTACTCAAAATGGATATATGTAATGGAGATTAAATTGATTAAGTGTGAGATTTACAAGTCAATTGATTATTGTTTCTCGATAAATCCTGGATAAATAATTTTAAATTTGTAGTATTGCTGATTTTATAAATTACATCAAGTATCAGCAAACTTGTATGAGTATAAATATCAAACATTGCAAACAAAAACTTCAGCAAAACAAGCAATCAAGTTCTTGGCGGGTGTTTGCCAAAGTAAAAGAAATAAGGCATAACCCATTTCAGTTAATTTAGAGTTCTGAGAGACCTGCTTGGTTGTCAGGAAAATTGAAGACATGGTTGAGCCAAGAACTCTGATGAGATTATTCCTGACTCTATGCCTATATGTATCTCTAGCTACCATTCCATTTGCAGAGGCCAGAATTCGACATTACAAGTGGGAAGTGAAGTATGAATACAAATCTCCAGATTGCTACAAGAAACTGATGATCACCATTAATGGAAGGTCTCCTGGACCAACAATCATGGCTCAGCAAAACGATACAATCATTGTTGAGCTCAAGAACAGTTTGTTGACTGAGAATGTTGCGATTCATTGGCATGGGATTCGGCAGGTAATATAAATAGCCTGATTCGTATTGTTTTTGTTTTCTTGTTTTTTGTTTTCGTATTTTTGGAAACAAAAGCGATTGTATATTTTAAAAACATCCAGCTTTTACATTTTTGTGCAAAAAAGTTTTGGAAACAATAATATTTGGTTGTGTTTTCAGAAATAAAACTAATGAGATGTTCGAAAACACACATCATTTTCAATTTCCTTCGAAAAGAGTTTTTGAAATTTTGAAGATAATTTTTTGGTATTTCGTAAAAAGTTGATTTTTTTTTTAAAAAAAAAATTTCTGAACAAATTTCAGATAAATATGTTTTCTGTGTTTTTCAGAAAAATGAAAACACAACTAAAGCAGTTTTATGTTTCAAAAAGTTCTTTAAAAGGTTGATTATTTTCAGTTTTTTTCCCAAAAACAGTTTCCGTAGCATTTTGTTTTTAGATTGGGTGTTTCCACAACTTATTTTCGAAGTTTGGCTGAGTTTTTAGAACCTTTTTTTTTTTTGAAAAATTAAAAAATAATTTAACAAAAATAAACTCCAAGAAAGGTATTTTGAATTTGTAAAAATTATTCTACCATATGAAAAAGAAAAAATCATGCGAAAATATTTTTTGTCAAACTAATTTTTAAAAATTAAAAAATATAGATATTCTGAAAATTCAACCAAATAGCATTTCTAAAAAATAAAAGGGTAAATTACATTGACATGACACCCCTTGAGATTTGCTTTTAATACATGTATTTCTTCACATTCTAGAAATTACATCTCTCTCCTTAAGATTTAAACTTCTATTATAATTTAATCTTTCTGTTAGTCAACCGTTAAGTCAACTAATGGAAAAAATTAATGTAAGAAATTAATTTTTAAAATGCCTATTTTATCCTTGTTTGCATATATAAAATTGACAAATAAATTACTGTTTAAGAAAATTTTATATGCTTCAGTTGTGATATTTGGTTATAACGCATTATGGTGTTAGTTATAACTATTGATTATAATATTATTTTATTTATGATTCAAAAGGTATTTAGTTATACCTCATGTGATGTTTCATTATAACTATTTTTTTTAGTTATGATTGAAAATGATCTAATTATAATATCGACAATGCTACGTAGCTCAAATTTTGTGGCTCAAAAGTGGCTCAAATGGCCAAAACGACGTCGTTTTGAGTACAGAACAACACAAAAATGGCCAAAACGACGTCGTTTTGGCCATTTGAGCCACTTTTGAGCCACAAAATTTGAGCTACGAGACATTTTCCTTATAATATTTGTGATAATTAACATCACAAAAGCTTGTGTACCATAGCATTACCTTAATGTTTAATAGTATAATAATATATGTATTAGTATTAAATGAATTTTTGTAAATCCTTACCGATTTTCTTTAGTCATCTAGTAATTTTTTTTTAAAAAAAAAGGTTTTTTTATTTATTAAGAGTAAAATAGCCATTTTGAAAAATTAATTTATTATATTAGTTTTTTCCGTTAGTTGACTTAACAGTTGACTAACGGAAGAATTAAATTGTAATTAAAATTTAAACCTTAGGGAGGGATATATAATTTTCAGATATTGAAGATACTACTTATATTAAAGACAAACCTCAGGGTGCCAGTGTAACTTACCCAAAATAAAAACAGAAAATGAAAAGTCTAACCACTTGGTAATGATATGATTGTTGATTTATGCATATGTGTTTGTTTGTCTGATTGATTTGCAGATTGGTACACCTTGGTTTGATGGAGCAGAAGGTGTTACTCAATGTCCAATTGTGCCTGGAGACACCTTTGTATACAAATATGTTGTTGATAGGGTAAAGCCTTAAAAACCTCACTATATTCCCTAAAAACAATTGTTAAAACAACTACACAGTTCTATATACTGCAAATTGTGTTTTAAATTTGAATTCGGAATTGAACGATATATGCAGCCTGGAACATTTCTGTACCACGCACATTATGGTATGCAAAGAGTTGCTGGGCTCTATGGATCGATTCGTGTTGCGCTTCCAGATGGAGAATCGGAGCCATTTTCTTACGATTATGATCGGAGCGTCATCCTCCAAGACTGGTACCACAAAAGCACATATGAACAAGCCACTGGCCTATCTTCCATACCCTTTGGTTGGGTTGGAGAGCCTCAGGTATTTTTTACAAACTTCACCATCCTTAAAACATTATATGTCACTGTTTTTTAGCCATTGTTTGCCACCATCAATTGTGTGCACCGAGTTTCAGCAAATTCTTTGTAAGATATAATTAAGGCAAACATATGTTTTGTGTCGGCACAAACGATGACTAACCCCGAGCACACTATGATACACAAATATGAACATGTTTTGAAATTCTATGTCTACAAAAAATATATTGTCTGCATTATAAACGATAAAATACACTTATCTCTAAAGTATGCGCGTCTAAAACGTTCCAAATTTTAATTTTGTCAATTTTGTCGTAGAAGTTTTCAATTTGAGTCAAATTAATTCAATTTCAAACGACCATTTAAATTATTAACAAAATAATTATAAATTTCAACTATGATTCTTAAAATATACTTTTTTGTAATTTTTTTGTCAATTTCGTCTCTCAATATTGTAAGGTTATGGCTCATCTTTTTCATCAATATTTCAGAACTAAATTGACAAAATTTAAAAAATTTAGGGACAGAAATGATATAGAACATATACTTTAGGGACCATATTTGATCATCATTTTGTTTACGTTTTAGGTATGTTTGAAATTGGACGAAATTGAGTCATTGAAAATTTTAATGAGTAAAGTGACACACAATAATTTAAAAACATAAATGTATTTTATCCTCTTGTACAACTTAGCATGAAAGATTATAATGGTCATATGTATACATTACTCCTATTGAATTGCAGTCACTTCTGATACAAGGAAGAGGAAGGTTCGATTGCTCTACACCCGGCATAGAAGCCGGTCTTTGTAATGCGACGAATCCCGAATGCTCTCCCTATGTTATCACTGTAGTTCCTGGCAAAACTTACAGACTAAGGATCAGTAGCTTGACTGGTCTATCTGCCCTCAGTTTCGAAATAGAGGTACAAAAATACACGTCAAATTTATTTGATGTTTCATTCAAAGACTATGTTAAGTCATTACTAATGTATTTTGTTTCTAATGCAGGGTCATAATATGACTGTTGTGGCAACGGATGGGCACTATGTTGAGCCCTTTGTTGTGAAAAACCTCTTCATTTACTCCGGTGAGACGTACTCTGTGCTAATAAAAACCGATCAAGACCCTTCAAGAAATTACTGGGCTAGTTCAACAGTGGTTAGCAGGAACAGGACAACCCCAAATGGTTTAGCCATTTTCAATTACTATCCGAACCATCCTAGGAAGTCCCCGCCCACGGTCCCACCCCCTGGCCCTGCCTGGAATGATTCGGCCCCTAGGGTGGCTCAAAGCCTCGCGATCAAGGCTCGACAAGGTTACATTTACCCTCCTCCCCAGACATCGGACAGAGTAATTGTCTTACTCAACACACAAAATAAGTTCAATGGTTATTTCCGGTGGTCTGTCAACAATGTCTCCTACAACCTCCCTCATACCCCATATTTAATCGCGCTTAAAGAGAATTTAAAGCACGTTTTCGATCAAACTCCACCTCCGACCGGTTATGACTCTCTCAACTATGACATTTATAGTCCCCCCCCAAATCCAAATGTTACTACTAGCAACTCCATCTATAGGTTGCAATTCAATTCAGTGGTGGATATTGTACTTCAAAATGCCAACTCATTGAGCAATCACACTAGTGAGACACACCCTTGGCATCTCCATGGCCATAATTTTTGGGTCATGGGTTATGGGGTGGGTAAGTACGATATGGTTAATGATCCAAAGAAGTACAATTTGGTTGACCCAATAATGAAAAACACGGTTCCCGTTCACCCATACGGGTGGACCGCATTGCGGTTTAGGGCCGACAACCCGGGTGTGTGGGCCTTCCATTGCCACATAGAGTCTCACTTCTATATGGGTATGGGGGTTGTGTTTGAGGAAGGGATAGAAAAGGTTGGGAAATTGCCAACATCCATTATGGGCTGTGGTGATACCAAAGGCTTCCACAGACCATAGATACTGTGAAAGTTTCCGAAAAAAATTTTATTTGAAAAAATTATTTTTCAAAGAAACACGGACTGATTATACAATCTAAAATATTTCAATCTAAGCGTGTTGTTATTAGTATCTTACTAAGCGATCAAAGTGTCTCGCCTCCAAAGTGATTCACCTTGCACCCTCTTGCTTTTATTTTTGTGTGTATTTTTCTACACATCTTAAAAATTTTGATGGCTAATTTTTGTATATATATACACAACATGATAGAGTTTGTATGTTGGTGGGATCCTTAGGATCTCTATCTTTTGGTTGTGGATAAAATAAAAGATGTATCTTTTATTTTGAATTTGCAAGATACAACTTATCCAATTTTTTATTTAATTATCTTTTAAATAGATAATATAGAACTTTCACTAATTATAATAATGTCCATCAACGCATTACAATTAAACCCCTAAAAGTAGAGAATTACAAGTGAGGCTCTTTCTTACAATTGGTCACAAACTTCCTTCTATCAAACTGTATTCCACATGAGCTACTAAGTATGGACAAATTTATCACTATCAAAAATCCTAACTCATGTAGATGAATTCTAAATTTTTCCTTATTCTAATTGGACCCCAGAAGAAAATTTCAAAAATAATACTTTTATAATTATACTTGTACAAATAAAAATATTTTTTTGAAAAAGTTATCGGCCGGTTTTCTTTTGGTCCAACGTTACTAGAAAAAATTACTTGAATATACTTTCTCACTTTGAGAATGGTGGATTCCATGTTAAGCACCTATATAAATCAATTACCACTCACACAACCCAAGATGTCCGTGTATAGCCTTTGGTTCGGTGTCACCGATTGATAATATCAAAGTTAAATGAATAGTAAATTAATTTATACAAGCCTCTCAGGTCAAAGGAAAATAAGTGCATTGTAATAGAACTACATTTTAAATTGATAATGATCATTCCATAGGTGTTCTCAAAATCGATAATGTTCATTGCATGTTCTTATTGCATAGCACCCACCTATTTGCCTAAGGTCACTACCTCTATGATGGAGTTAATCGTTCTATCATATAGCAACAAAACATGTGTAGGCCATAGTAGTGCAACGCCGTATCAACACCCATAGCCTAGAACATTAATTGGGTCTACAAGGCACCGAAAAATCATAACTCCTACATTTTGGTTCATTAACTATTAGCATATTTTTTTATAATGTTACCCAAGGGACCTTATCTTCACATCACATGTAATATTAAATATAACAATACCCAAAATAATATACAAAAGTGAAAAATACAACGCCAAGCAATTTATTTAATCAGTTAATAAAGTCAACAAATTGATTTTTGAGGGTATAAATGCTAACATTCTCCCACTTGCACTCAAAACCAATTACATATGTATTTAATACCCATCATCTCCAAGTGCTTCTCAAAAACCTTTTGAGTTAAGGGTTTTGTGAAAGGATCTGCAACATTTTCAACTGATGCAATATTTGCTATTGACATATCTCCTGTATGGGTGATATCACATATCAAGTGAAATCTATGCTCACTGTGCTTTGTCCTTCGATGAGCCCTAGGCTCAATAGCATGTGTTGTAAATCATAGTATTATAATGCAGCGGGAAAAACATTTAGATCATACCTTTAGGTGATAGAACCTCGCGGGTAAATCACGTGCTTCCAGAATCTAAACAACGAACCCAATAGTGGAGTGATATTACAAAATGAGTATCACCCACATAAGTCACAGTGCAAAATGGCTTGATCGTTGTTTAACGGGAGAGAGTCAGAGAGAGAGTCTGGGAAAAAAGGTTATGGGTAAAAATCACAAAACGTATCTGATATACGTATCTGATATATCAATATATTATCTAAAATATATAATCAGATATATAACCATATAATCTATTTATCCATCTATCCATATCTATTGATATGATAGATATAGATATCCTGAATGGTTATCCAAATAAGTTTTGAATTCAAATTCAAACTTACATGGATAAGTTTCAAAAGGTTCAGGTTCAAAAAGTTCAAAGGGTCATGCCACATGGGCGCCCAATTTCTAACATCTCTCACTCGCACATGAGTTGGCACGGCACTGCCACATCTTTATCTCAATCTCTCCAAAAATGAACAATCTCATACTAGCCAATACACCGTGCAACTGTTAAGAACACTTGCATGTGGGAGCTCTATACTAGAAACTCAAAATGAGCCATCATAGAGACATCAACCCCAAAATAGTGTCTTATATACCCCAGACTCATCTAATTACGTCAGTCCAAAAAAATCTCTAATCCCTCAAAAAGAGCATGTTTGACTCTCTCAATTCTTGCAATATATTCACACTCAATCCGCCTCTCATATAGAGCGATGTGAGTTACCGGCAGTGAATATACAACAGTGGTGTAATACTAGATGATCTTCCCTTTGCCCTCATGCTATTTAGTTTAGGAATGACCATTTTCCCAGTGATGTCCCTTAAGGCCGAATCATACATGACCGCAGGCAACATACCAAAGTAGTAGAACATCAACCCCTTACCTTATGACATAGTCAAAATTCAGAAAAAGGTACATAAATGAAAGTCATATCAATAATGACACGTAAGACTCACAAGGTGAGGAAACATGGATCCATTCTCTCACTTCATTACTCGGTCGCTAAGCACATATAGTATGAATACTTGCTACGGTGAAGTAACTCTTCCAAAAGAGTGACGTCATACTCGATACACCATACAGATATTAGTCTAGTCGCTTTCTAGCGCGTAACCTGAATTCTCTATTTGCTTGCCTTCCAGGCGCCAAATGAGATCTCGCATCTAGCTAATCATAACAAGCACAACATGGAAAGTGGATACTAACACCCATGTTTGGTCCTTAACATGACCTCATCTTGGTTGTAACCAAAGTGACATGCATAGTGTATAATCTAAGCCTCTCTTGGCTCCAAATAAAAAATAAACCACCAGTCTCATCCTTGCTCGCACCCAAGCGCCAAGGGCAATTGCTCGTGTGAGTAAGCCAATCTTGCCTGCTGACATCATCATCTGCTAATCATTATGACACAGACTATAATAGTGTCAACATCCCATCATCTCACAACAAATAGGTGATCGATCAAAAAAAAAAAAAAAATATGACCACAGCTTGCGCAATTCTTGATTCCAAACATAAGCCTTATCAGCACCTCTTGCGATAAGCATATACAATGGAATCCTCCATGTGTGCCTCACATGAAGTGATTCAAGATCACTACCTCTTGCGAAATAACCTCTCTAAAGATATTTTGGTGACCAATTTGCGTTCATTCTTGATGCGCCCAACTAGCGCATTGAATCTTACAATGAGCAAATTAATATACTACTAGTAAAGCATTCTATCCACAGTCTAATGAGCAAGGTCAATGTCTAAACAACTCAGTTGACCATTTACCAAAGATAACACTTATCATGCCGAATACGCCCATATAGCGTACTTTAGGCTCCCACAACAAAGAAAAGATCAAGGAATATTGGTCATCTGTTTCTCCTAAAGACAATCCGAGGATTCACTCAATAGTTAAGGCTCTGGCTTTTACCGATAGGTAAGTCAATGGGTTTGCAATTTTGCATCTAGAATCGTTATAGGATATTCCTTATGTAAGTCATCGAAGACAAAACAGGAATTCTCCCAAAACAATCCCTAAGGATCGTATATCCGAGCATATAAATTACATCACCCATGCCCATCATATCTAAAACAGAGGACTGCCCACCCTAGGTGGTGACAACCCTATAAATTCCTGGCTTATAATGACTAAGTAAGGAAAAACTTCTTTTGGACCATTGATCATGCCTCAATGGTCTTCATCGATCATCGTTGGCCTATCATGGCTTGACGAAATCTAAGAACCACTATTTGGATAACTGTTTTAGGCTGTAAAAGATTTATTGGAACTAGCAACCTTTTTGCACTCCAAACTTTTCACCATAAAAGCAGAACCTACGGATCTACTTATCCAATTCTATAACGAGAAAGTTGGGTCACAATGTCCACAAATCAATGTTCCGAACTTATGTCAATCATAGCTTAAGTCAAAATAGCCTTACTCCCTAGGAGGAAGTCTTCTCATGGTCTACACTTTCCTTAATGGTGTGACTTTTCGGTATCTAGCGAGCCTTATACCTCAATAATGACTATCCAAATTACGCATAACTTTAGAACAGTTTCGCATCATAATAGAAAGTCAACCAAACTATAGAAATGATTAATCCTTAAAGACTTTGTCTTAAACTGCGCAATATTGATCCACTTTCTAAATACAACGGACTAGAGCCTTTGGCATTATCCTAGGCTCTTTATCATCTTGCGGAGCAATCATGAATGTTTCCTTCTCAATCACTCAGTGATGATGTGAAAAATTTTCACATTCGCTACCACGCAACTAAGAATGTAGAGTATTATTCTCTAATGGAGTAATCCATTAGTAGGCACATCGTTCCCACTGTCCCTAGAATATTGGAAATTTCTTTTCATTCTCAACTAGGCTACATAAAAGCGCTATGCTTAGAATTCTCTATCTTATAGAGTTCCAAAACTCTATTCACGTCACATTTACTAAGAAAACTTTATGTGACTTAGTTACACCACCACAAAGTTGCTTACCTATATGCACATGACCTGGAGGGTTTACATGACCACATACAATAATGCGCCACGTAACCCTATGTGTTTACAAGATAGCATACAATAATGCGCTATAGAACCCTAGGTCTTAACTTCGCAACCTTATGAGAAGTAAAATAAGGATAAGCTGCTTTGATGGTTACAGTTCGCCCACAAATGGCTCTCTGCTAACCCATTACTTAAATGGAGTGTAAACTCTGATATGAAGAGCACTTAGTTAGGGATATAGACAACAAACTAAAGTGCAATTTCCAATTAGGAAACATTTTGCGCCATCATCCACCTAACATTAACAATATTTAATTCCATATCTCTACTACACTATTGTGTTGTTGAGTACTAGGAATAATCAATTTTCTAAGCATCAATTTTCTAAGCATCCAATTTTCTAAGGTACATACTCTGCTTCAGTTGTAAAATCTGTAGTAGTATCTTGTTTGCAACTTCTCCAACTTATTGCTCCCTTTCCAAGAGTGAACACAAATCCAAAAGTTGATTTTCTATCATCGATATCAGATTGAAAATCTGAATCGGTGTAACCTTCAACAACCGAATTTTCACTACCAAAAATTAGAAAATAGTGTTTAGTCCTTTTCAAATATTTCAAAATGTGTTTCATTGCTGTCCAATGCTCTGGACCTAGATTGGATTAGTATCTACTCACA